CTTAACAAGGCCCTAAGCAACTTAGCAAGACCCTGTCTCAAAAAATAAAAGGGCTGGGGATGTGGTTCAGTGGTAAAGTGCTCCTGGGTTCAATCTCAAATACCAAAAAGCCAAGCATGGTTGTATATACCTGTATTCCCAGCAACTCAGGAGGCTGAAGCAGGAGGATCGAAAATTAAAGACTAGCTTCAGCAATTTAACAAGACCCTGTCTCAAAGTTGAAAAGGGTTGGGTGGCTGGGGATGTAGCTCAGTTTTAGGGTACTTGGCTAGCATGCACAAGACTCTAGATTCAATCCCCAGCATCAAAAAAAGAGAGCGGGGGGTGCAAAAAGGACCCTGATACATGACCCATCCCTGTAATCCCAGCAACTCGAAAGGCTAAGTTCAGAGGATCACAAGTTTGAGGCCAGCCTGGGCAATTTAGTGAGACCCTCTCTCAAAAACAAAAGGGCTGGAAATGTAGTTCAGTGGTAGAGTGCCTCTGGGTTCAATCCTCAGAAACAGGAAAAAAAGAAAATGGGCTGCATTATAAACTCTAGTAAAGCACCCCTGGATTCAATCCCCAAACCAAAAAAATAAAAAATAAGATTTCTGCCTGTAAATCCAAAATGTCCTACAGCTACCTGTATGGGTAACACATGAATACAGGACACTGGGGAACAGCAACAAAAAATGCTGGCAGCCAGCCAAGCCAGGCAGACCCAGCACAGCCTGAGGAGCATGGGAATGATTTCTGGCCTGAATCAGAGGGTGCCAATGAAGGGTTTCACTCTGGCATGCATAGGGTCATATTTCCACTTTAAAACATCACCCCTGGGCTGGGGTTGTGGCTCAGTGGTAGAACGCTTGCCTAGCACAGGTGAGGCGCTGGGTTCCATCCTCAGCACCACGTAAAAATAAATAAATAAAATAAAGGTAAAAGAAAAAAGATGAGGTCATTGCCTTTAAAAATAAATAAATAAATGGAACATCACCCCTGTTGGTCATGGTGGTACATGCCTGTAATCCCAGTTAGTCCAGAGGTTGAGGCCAGACTGGGCAATTTAGCAACACCCTGTCATCACAATGTGTCTGCTGTCAATTGAGCCCAGGGCTGCTTAACCGCTGAATCACATCCCCCAGCCCTATTCAGTATTTTTTTTTTTCTGTATTTTATTTAGAGACAGGGTCTCACTGAGTTACTTAGTGCCTCTCTATTGCTGAGGCTGGCTTTGAACTCACGATCCCCCTGCCTCAGCCTCCCGAGTCCCTGGAAATTATAGGTGTGCACCACCACACCAAACTCACAATAATTTTTAGAAATTAAAAGAGCTGGCAATGTAGCTCAGTGGTAGAGCACCCCAGGTTCAATTCAGTACTACAAATGATAATAAGTAAAATTAAATAGAACATGGCCTGTGAAACCCTGTGAGGGTGAGAGGCTTCAAGGAGGCCCCAGAGAAGCTGCTCCAGCATTTTGCAGGTGAAGAGACTAGGGAGAGAGAGACTGGAAGGTGGCAAAGATGTAGAGAAGGTTCAGGTGGTGGACAACAGCCGAGCAGGGAGGCAGAGGAATTTGGACATCCTTCAGCTTGCCAGGAACCGGCATGGCCACATATTCCAGCTTTTCCTTAGAAACTGGAAATGATATTGTCACAGCATACTTCATTAAGGGAAATTAATATTTTATTTTAAACACTGTGGATCCGACAAAACACATCAGGCCCATGCACTCCATCTGAGTGCCTGCAGGGTGGTCCTCCAGTAAGTACAATCTGTACCATCTGGACACTCTTTATTTTATTTATTTATTTATTTTCTGGGCATTGAACCCAGGGGCATTCTACCACTGAGCCACATCCCCAGCCACAGTCCTTTCTATTTTGAGATAGCATCTCACTAAGTTGCCCAGACTGGCATAGAACTAGCGGATCCTCCTGCCTCAGCCTCCTGAGTCACTGGGATTATACATGTGCTCCACCACACCCACATGGACTATTGTTTTCTCAAATGTGTTTCCCAGGCCCTGCTCCAGAGATTTGATCTGCATATTGGAGGGGGGATCCAGAGACCTGCAAGTCATCATTCATCTCCAGAGCCTCCCAGCCTCCTCAGAAAGACCTGCTCCTGACAGTTGCTATCTTAGCACACCTCTGGTACTGTTTTGCAGGTGTTTATTTAAGCTGCTCGTCCCATGTTGAGCCTTGGATTCATTCTGCTTTTTGCCAGGCACTGGCCCTAGGGCTGTGGAGTTAGCCATGAACATAACTAAGTCCCTACCAGAGGCACTTACATTCCAGTGTGTCTCTGGTTCCTGAAACCAAAATGAGCTAATTGTTCATTAAACGTGAGCCACATGTAGCTGCAAAGAACAGATGTGGTGGACACTAGAGTTAAGATGCCCAGGGCAGGTGATACTTAGCTTCAAGTGAGGACAGACCATGTGTTCTAGGGAAGAGAACGTGCAGATCTCATTTTGCCCCTAAGCAGAGGCACTCAGAGGCTCCATCACACTCCCGTCAGGCCCCACTGTGGCCCCAAACATACTGCCTCAGAACATGAGAGGTCACTGCATGGGCAGCCTCCTCTGCCCTTCCTGGCAGTGACCAGAGGTCACTGATGAAAGCCCAGCCACACCAGGCTTGCTTTAACTTCCTCTTCCACATAAGTGGCCAGAGCAGGCCATATTCTGGCACCTTTCCTCCCGTCTCCTCCCCTGTGGCCTTGTGGTAGGAGCTGATAATTGGGTTTGGGCCAGACAGGCCTGGCCTCCACCCTGTGGTCAGCCCTAGCTCACCAGCATTCTTGGCATTGGAGTCAGGAACCCAAGCTCATTTCACAATCAGTGATGACTGGCTTTGTTCCCCAGTTCCCACAGCACAGTGGCACATCACCCTCCCAGGCACAAGGGCAGAGAAGCTGTGAGGTGAAGCAAGATGGAGTCCTGGGCCCTGACCCCAGTACCACCAACAACCAGGGTAGAAAAGCAGTGGCCCTGCCCATCACCCCAGCCACTCAGAGGCTGAGGTCAGAGGGGCACAGGTTCCAGGCCAGCCTGGGCAATTTACTGAGGCCCTGTCCCAAAATAAAAATAGCTGTGTGTACGTCCGTTGTAAAGCTCCCCTGGGTTCATTCTCCAGTACCTGGAAGGGGGGGAAAAAAGACTCTGCTTCAGTTCTTAGGACTATATACCCAGAAGTGGGCTTGCTGACCTTGTGGTGATTCTACCTTAATGTGGAGGACTTCCCTGCTGCTTTCCAGAGCAACTGCACGGTTCTCATTTTCAAGCAGTGATGCAGGAGCTCCAGGTTCTCCACATTCTCACCACTGCTGATAATCTCTGGGAGGTTTTTTTGGGTTTTTTTGTTGGGGGGAGGTGCCAAGGATTGACCTCAGGGTCACACTACCTACCGCTAAGCCACATGTCAGCCCCTATTTTGTATTTTATTTAGAGACGGGGTCTCACTGAGGTTGCTTAGCGCCTCAGTTTTGCTGAGGCTAGCTTTGAACTTGCCATCCTCCTGCCTCATCCTCCCAAGCCTTTGGGATTACAGATGTATACTACTGAACCCTGCAATCTCTGGGTTTTTAAAGCTTTTTTTTTTTTTTGGTGTGTGGGGGGGGTGTGCATTATAATGTTTTTAAAAAAAGAATAGCTATCCTAATGAGGTGAAGTTTATACACTTGAACCCAGGGCAGTTCTACCTCTGAGCTACATGCCCTTTTTTATTTTGAGACAGGTCTTTCTAAGTTGCTGAGGCTGTCCTACAGCTTGAGAGACTGCTGCCCAGTGAGGTGGTACTGATCATGCTTCTGAAGCGCCTCTCCCTGACATCAGTGAGGGCGAGCCTCTTTCTGGTTGCTTCCTGACTGTGTGCATCTTCATAAAAGTGCTTATATTTCCTCCCATTCCAAGTTGCCTTTTTACTCTTTTAATAAAGTCTTTTGATGCACAAAAACTTAATTTTCATGAAGTCTAATGTTCTGTTTTGATGGTTGCCTGTATCTTTGGTATCATGACCAAACAGTCATTGCCAGATCCAGTGTCCAGAGTTCTGCAACACTGAGTCTCACACTTAGCTCTTCTCATTCATTTTGAGTTAACTTCTGAACATGGTGTAGGGTCCACTTTCCCCAAGGCCTTTGCTGAAGACACAGTCCTTTCCCTAGCATGTGGTCTGGCACCCTGGAGGGCCCCTTGACCAAAACACAAGGGTTTATTTTCAGCCTCTGTACAGTTTCTTTGGTCTGTATCTCTCTCTTTATGCCAGTCCCATGCTCTGTTATGGCCATGGTTTAATAAGACCTAAAATCAGAAAGTGTGAGTCCTCCATCTTTGTTCTTTTTCAAGAATGTTTTGGCTATTTGGGATTCCTTGAAATTCATAAATTTTAGGATGGAATTTATTTCCCTCCCTGTCTTTCTGTCTCCCTCCCTCCATCCCTCCATCCTGCCATCTCTTCTTCTTTTCAATTCTGGGAATCAAACCCAGAGCTTTGCACATGCTAGACAAATTCTGTACCACTGAGCTGTATCACCAGTCCCAAGATGGGTTCTTCTATGTAAAATACATCATCAGGATTTTGAGAGGGGTTGCATTGAATCTGTAGATCACTTTGGGTAATACTGATATCTTAACCAATAGTATCTTAAGAAATGGAATTTTTTTGTTATTTCCTTTTAAGATGGCTTGTGTTTGTAATTGAAATGCACTGATTTTTGAGTGTTGACTTTATATCCTTCTATTCTGCTGAATTAATGTATAGGATTTTCTATATCATTTCATCACCTACATGATATTTCAGATATGCTAATCTGCCTCAGTATAGTAACCATTTTTCTATATACAATGTTGCATAATATCATCTTGGAAGCCTCAATTATGTACAGGAAAATTGTTCAAAAATAAAGGTTAAAAAAATTTTTTTTGCAAGATGGACACCATATCTTCATTTTATTTCTATGTGGTGTTGAGGATTGAACCCAGCGCCCCGTGCATTGCCAGGTGAGCGTGCTACTGCTTGAGCCACATCCAGCCCAAAGGTAAAAATTTAAACTTAAAAAATTTCAAACTGTGAGAAACAGTAAGTTCAAGTGGTCCATTTTCTTCTTCTTCTTCTTTTTTTTTTTTTTTTTAACTCGAGGGGCACTCGACCACTGGGCCACATCTCCAGCCCTTTCTTGTATTTTATTTAGAGACAGGGTCTCATTGAGTTGCTTAGTACCTCGCCATTGCTGAGGCCGGCTTTGAGTTCTTGATCCTCCAGTCTCAGCCTCCTGAGTTGCTAGGATTACAGGCGTGCGCCACCACACCCAGCCAGTGGTCCATTTTCAAAATGCAGTAATCTCAGTGACTCGGGAGGCTGAGACAGGAGGATCACGAGTTCAAAGCCAGCCTCAGCAACAAGGAGGTGCTAAATAACTCTGAGAGACCCTGTCTCTAATAAAATGCAAAAATTGGGCTAGGGATGTAGCCCAGTGGTCCAGTGCAAGTGCTTTACCACTGAGCCACAGCCCCAGCCCACTATTTAACTTCAAATGTAAAATTGCTGGGGAAGTAAAAAACAGTAAAGGGAAAATAAAACAAATAGTTACCAGCAGTTAACATCTTAGTGTGAAAGACTCACAGCCCCTTGACAAACAGGAGGTAAGAAAGAAGGGGACACCCAAGACCTTCCCTGCAGTCCCCAGTCCATAAGCCCTTTATATATATATATATATATATATATATATATTTTTTTTTTTTTT